TTTGACTTTGTCAAGAGCAAATGTCAGAAAAATCGCCTGTAGGAAAAGGTAGGTGAAGGAATCTTAGAGGAGAGCCTCCTACGCCTCCCCTGCCAACAGCCTCACAAATGCAGTGCATCTTCCACACCTGTGATGACATCCAAATGCTCAACTAATAGTTATTGTGCTCCTACTGTGTTCCAGACATTGTGGATAAAATGATATAATTTTTCCTCCAAAGAGCCTGTCTAGAGTAGAGGTAGACACACACATGCAAACAACTTAGATTCCACTGCAGAGAGTGTCTCAGGATGAACAGAGAGCATAGACCGTGCACTCAGAACGAGGTTAAAATCCCAGGTCTAAGACTTAGTAGCTGTGTGATTGTACGCTGAGCATCTTTTATTTCTTATCTATAAGTTGTGGATGGTAATAGCTATTCATAGGGGGTGTTGTAAGGACCAAATGAGACAATGCACAGTGCCCGATATATAATAGGTACATGATAAGGGAGATGAGAAGAGCAACTTCTCCCTACAGCAGAGCTTCTTAAACGTCTTAAACGTGCATCAGATTGCCTGAGAATCTTGTTAAAAATGCATATTCTGGCTCAGTGGTTCCAAGGCAGGGCCTGAGATCCTGCACTGCTAGCAAGTCCCCAAGTGGTATCCATGATGTTTCTCAGAGGACTGCAGTTTCCGTAGCAAGAGTTTATTTTGGTTTTGTCTTTATTTTTAAGGTACTAATGCTGGAGGTGAATCTTAAAAAATAAGTAAGTGCCATCCAGGAAGACAACAGACAGTGGAAAGAAGGGCATTCCAAGAGAAGGAATGGAATTATGGGGCCTGCCAGCAGCGTAAGAAGCATGGGAGTGTGAGGGCCCTGGAGGGTGACTTGAGGAGACAAGTTTGGAGTGAGAGAGAGTATCAAGACAAGGAGTCATTGAGCCCGTAGATAATGAAGGACTCACAGAAGGGTTTTAAGAAGATGTGAGTGATTTGATCAGCTATGAGATTCAGAAAGATTATCCTGGAGACAACTGGAAGATAAGTTGGATGGGAGAATGTGGAGTCAGGAGGATATTGTAGTATACTTGGTGTATACTACCAATGCACCAATGAACCAATGCAGGGATGGCGATATGAACTGAGAGGAAGTGATGACTATCGGAGACATCAGGATATGTAACTGACAAATCTTGGGCATTTATTAGATATGGAAAGAGGAAATTAAATTTAAGGTTCCTTCCAGGTTTCTGATTTAGGTGATTGGGTAGAGGATATATCACTTTGTAAGTAATTCAGGAGGAAGAGAAGAGTTTATGGAAAACAAAATGAATTGAGTTTTGGAATATGTTGAATTTATGCGGCAACCAAATGCAAATACCTATTAGCAAAGTTGAAATTACAGGAGAATGGTTTGGGAACTGTCGGCAGCGTATATTATGGTAGATGGAGTCATGGAGGTAGATTCTGTCATTCAGGGAGAACAGCACAGAGAGAAGCAAGAAAAGACAAGAACAAGATTCTCATGCAAATCAACATGAGGGGTGAGCAGAGGAAGAGAAACTCACAAGAGAGACTGAGAAGAAATGATTACAAATAGAGAAGTAGAATCAGGAAGAATATTGTCAGAAAAGCCTAGAGATATGAGAGTTTCTAGAAGAAATTAATCAGTTGTGTCAAATGCAGTTAGAAGTCAAGTAATAAGAATTAGGAAATAAATAAAATTAGGAATTGGTGATATTTACCAGAGTAGTTTCAGTGGAATAATGTACAGGAAAGCCAGATTGTGGAGGGTTGAAAATGAATGGAACATAAGGAAGCAGAGATAGAAATGTAGAATATGCTTTCTAGAAGCTTGGCTATAACGGGAAACTTTTAATAACTAGTAGCCAGCAATAGTCCCAAGGTTGAGAGTTTCATTGAACTGATGATTGATTCATTCATTTATTCATTTGTCTTGAGCATACCTACAGCTGCTAAGGAGTGAGGAAAGAGGAAACATTTAAAAGGAGGAGGTCAAGAGAATCACTAATAGAACACTGTCCAGGAGAAGCAATGCACACTCATTCGAGACTGGAGGAAATAAGCTGGAGCTGGGCACTTGTGCAGATGGGTCACTAGACGTAGGGATGCATGCGTTTGGTGGCCCAAGTTGGTTCTGAAATGTGGAAGGCAGGATCATTGGCTGAGCACTAAAAGTGCAACTGCAGCTAGAAACTAAACTGTGTAGTGAGGCCTAAGCTCAAACTTGGGTGGTTTTCTTCGGGAATACTTGATCCTCTGCTTGTATTTTCTTTGACATTGTCCATGAACCTTGTTGTTGCTACTTCAAAAAAATAAAGGAGCGCGTGTTTCATAAATAGAGCATCCTCCGATATGCTGACCTTTCGAATGCCAAACAGCAAGCTGGCCTTCTTCCCTCTGCACTCCATTCATCTGGTTTTCCAGTCGACAAGAGGAGATAGAGATAGAAAGATGGATTGTGTGTGTGCATGTCCATATGTTGCACTCTTTAGAGGTGATGACATGCATAAGACCATCAAAGAAATCTCCAAGGTTGCGGAATGAAGAATTTGAAGACTGCTACTTTTATTCATGCAGAAATTTTACTTAGTGCATACCTTTGAACTCTTTAATCCATATAGCTTTACATGCCAAAATTCTTGTGTTCGTTTTACCTAGATAATCATGAGTCATCTTCCTACTCCAGTTCTCAGTTGAACATCATTCAACAACAAATTTAAAATAGCAGGCTGATGCGCCTTGTTGACTATCAGAGCAACAGGCCCCTGGCTTTGGTTTTCGGCTTCAGTCTTCAAGACACCTCTGCTGAATTCTGGAGGTCAACTGCAAGTAGAACCACAAATCAGCCAGCTCAAAAATGCTTGTTTTCTTGGAAACGTGAGGGAGGAGAGGATGGGGAGCAGAAATACAGTTCAGGAAATAAAAGCCCTAATTCTATTTTGGGTTACATCAACTGGTAGAAAATATGATTTCAAATATTTTTGAATGATCGCAAAAGCTCTGTAATGACCAACCTCACCTTGACCACTTCAACGTGTATTTTATGGATTAATTCAGTTATCCCCTCTCATAGTCTTACATTTTCCCAGTTCCTTCCCCAAAATACTTCTTAAATACTAAACACTGCAGTTTTTAAAGATACACAGGCTTCAAATTCCCTAGGTGTCTCAAGGATTTGCCTGAACTACACACTGTGTGGCTGATCGGTGACCCAGAGAAGAGGTAAAGGAGGCGGGTGCTCCTAGTTAATGGCTTAGAAAGTGGTTGTTCACTGTTGCTGCCTCCAGGTCAAACTCTAAGACTGTCCGGACACCCTGAAAAATATCAAAGCCTGGAATTTTGAAGCACATCTAGGAATGTATTCAGGAGAATACCAAAGGGCACAGACGCCATGTTACACAAAGAATGTTTGAAAGAACAAAAACTATTTCATCTAGAACGTGAGGAAACCTGAGAGTTGTCTGTATCAGTGTGCTTCCATATACAAGTGAGAGATACCCGTTCAAAGTAGTTGAAGGAAAAAGCAGATAGGTTGGTTCAGAGGCTCAAACTATGTCATCAGGACTTCATCTTTCTTTCTCCATCTCTCGGTTCTACTTTCCTCAGTGTTGGCTTTCTTCTCAGCCGTGTTTCGCGTTTGCTTAGGCAACGCCACACTTACCTCCTATCACCGCCAACAATCCTAGTGAAAAAGGAGGAGCTCGTCTTCGACATTTCCAACAAAAGTCCTGGACTCATTGGCTCTGAATCACTCGGCTTTGGTCAAATCCCCACCCCTGAGCCCTGGAGAAGACCTGGTGGAAGGAAAGTGGTTCTTTAGGGAAAACTTTTGTGCTAGTCCCACAAAGAGGGGAAGTACATGCCGGGCAGACAAAAACTATGGATGCCCTGCACCGCCCTCAGGTATATGGTGGACTCTCGTGTGGACAAGGGGATAAAATTTTATGAGCCTCCAGAAATGAGAAGTAGACCACTTGGACAAACCTTACAGGAAAGCAGATTTCTGCTCACTCCCCAAAAGGACCTTTTCACAATTAGAACCATTAGCAGTTGAAACGGGCTGCCTTAAGATGTGCCAAGTGCCAGGTCCTTCCACGTGTTCAGCCGTGGGCCAGATGGGCAGCTGTCAATAGTGTTGTGCAAGGAATTCCTGCATTAGGCAGAGCTTTGCCTACATGACCTGTAAGGTCTCTTTTGACTCTACAATTCTATTATCCTTGTTAATTTCCACAATTCAATTTGCTGTACAGGATAAACAAACCAACCTAATTTGATCTGGAACTTCTGCAGGCTATCACAGGTCATTTCATCAAAAACACATGGCTATAGCCATTACTATGTTTTCTGAAGTCATCTAACAGACATGGTCCTTAACAAGGTCTCCACATTATTAGTTTCACTTATGGCTTTTTCCAGCCTTCTGCTTATTACACAATTACCTTTCGTTCTCCTTTAGATTGGAGGGGAGAGGAGCAGGAAAGAGTTTTCTTCTTGCTGCCTTTCTCCTCTTAAATCTTACAATGTAATTAAATTAAATGTAATTGTAATTAAAATTACGTTGCTCACATTTTTACCTCCAAATTTGGCTTTCATTTTTCAGGTTTAAGAATCTATGGGAAATGCAAGTGGGGGCCATAGATAATCATAGATCTGGACAAAGTTTATTAAAGAAAGTTTTCAAAGAAGGGAGAGAGAGATTTTTTAATTTGATATTAAAAATTAATTTGTAAGATAAATTTAATATACTGCAACATTGTTAGAACTGGGGTACTAAACCTGAGCCATACTCATGAAGAAATAACACATTTGGGAAAGAAACACATTGGCTTCTTTCACAACCGAAGGCACCCCCCACCCCCCGAGCATATACATACATACTCTGTTCTGCTTAAACTGGAGATGACAAACTACACAATCCAGCCTGCAAATCAAACTGTTTTTGCTGAAGTATGTCCATCCTTAATAACTGATTGTGTTTCTTGTCTTTTTCAGTGAATGTAGTGTCAATGTTACAGGAATTTTGGGAAAGCAAGCAGGAGAGGGCTGCGTTCCCAAGTGAAGGAGTGGTGATCTATGAGTCACTGCCATCTCCTGGGCCTCCCTTCGTGAGTTACGTGACCCTCCCAGGAGGAAGCTGCTTTGGCAACTTTCAGGTAAGAAGCAACTGTAGATTAGTCAGTGAATGTTAATTGGGTTAAAATAGAGTAAGCCTTTTTATAAAATGATAATATTATGTTGTCTTAGTTGTAGTGAAAAAAGTTGTGCCGTGTTCCATTATATATACAGAAAAAGCCTTTTTATAAAATGGTAATATTATGTTGTCTTAGTTGTAGTGAAAAAAGTTGTGCCGTGTTCCATTATATATACAGAAAAATTTGTCAGACGTTCCGATTTTTTAAAATGAAAGTGTTTTATATTAGGGTATCCCCTCATAGTTCTTTATGGAAAATGAGTTTTATAGCATTTTATTTCCACGATAGCTGCTGCTATTTCCCTCAACATATTCTGGAATAAAACTTAAAGAACAAGGGAATGTCAGCAAAGTCCTTCCCTCAGGGCCCTTCCATCAGTAGAAAGTCTTCACTTTCATGAATTTTGTAATCAAATACTAATCAATCTATTACACACCAAAGCATGGGCCAACAGCAAAGGCTGAGACTCACAGGGCTGGGGTCAGGCGCCCGTGTTAAGCCTGAGTTCTGCCTCTGAATAACTGAAGATACCCTTGGGAAATTTCTTTAACTTCTTGATTTCCCTGACTTTGAGATGGGGAATAATACCCACAGGGTTAGTTGGGAGTCATATGAAATATACATGCAGTGTGTTTATCTGGTACATAGTAGGTATTCCACGTATTGTTTTGATAATTATTATAAAGACTCTTCCAGTTGGTTAAATCTTTATTATGTTTACGATGGGTGTAAATGATGATACATTTCTAGTTGGACATCTACTCACACAAAAACATTTGCCTATACATTAACCATCAGCATGTGGTTATCCAGTATGTGTAACAAATATGCATTGAGTGCTAGGAAATATCAAGCATTGGGCCAAGTAATGAAGATATGGTCCATACCTTGAGGAAATCAATGTACAAAAAAATTATAGTAATTACATAGAGTTATATTGGAGAGTCAATGAAAGCATAAAGGAGCTTTTCAGTTCACCAGTCACCTTTATAAGTACCCCTTCAGTACAGTAAACTCTCTCTTAATTTTAAATAACTGGCACAAATGCCTTATTTATGGTTTATGAACAATGTGAAACTCACAAGCATTCAAGTGTCCCTCTTAACTTTGACAACTGGGAAGCCCGGAGGCAAATTTTCAGCATATGTCTTTGCAGTGTAAGTCTACAGAACTTAATGTCATGTAATTTTTAGGACTAACCTCATACTTGATATCGTTTATATTTCTACCCTTACTCTCCCTTTGAACTTAGTGTGCCTCACTCATTTATTTTATCCTGTTATTGTGTATCTATTTTTCGTTCTTTCAAATCCTTTGTGGAGTAAGGGGAGGATTTAGTTTAATAAATAGACCCACAAACCTATGTCTGCCTAAGGGAAATCAAAGAAGGATTCACAGGAAATGCAATCACGAGCTGACATGTGCACTTAAGGGTGTCTTTGCCAGCTGGTAAAGGGAAGATGACATTCTCAGCATTAGGAACAGTGTGAGCAAAGGCATGGAGCAAGCACTCCCAGAATTTGGGAAGCCTAACTGTGTCTGTGGCAGGGAAATGGTGAGAAATTATGGTGTGCTCATCAAACCATAAGGGACCTTCATGCCTTGCAAAAGAGAACAGGTTGTATTCTATATATCAGAACCCTGAAGGATTCTGAGCAGGAGAGTGATATATTCAAATCAGAAGGATTACTCTGGCAGGAGCAAGGGGTAATTTTAAAGAACTGCTTTCCAAATGTCTGACCCCCCCCCCCCCCCCCAGCCAATGAGGTCTTGCCTTCTCCCACCCTGCACAGTGACCAGCAGTGCATTTTGACCTCTGACTAATGAAAGTGAATTGTCTGATGAGGATGATTAGAAAGTGGGTCTAGAAGCCTCAGAACAGAACTTGATGGAACCCCAGACACTTCGACAAGGACAAGGGGCAGGGAAGGGGTGAGAAAGGCAGCAACAGGGGAAGGGGTCCCCTAATCCACGTGAGACTGCAGGTCCGTCATGGAGCGCTGTGAGGTGAAGGCTGCTCTCACAGAGCACCCATCAGACTCCCACTCAAGGGAGACCTCCCAGGCAAACAGACCGGCCCTGCCACAGAGCAAGGTCTTGCCAGCCACCTGAGCCAATCTGTTTCTCTGTCCATGAGTGCCACTGGACTAAAGATCACCAAACATTTGAGGAAAACCAAAAGCAAAAGAGAAAAAGCCAAGGCAAGCAAAGAAAAGAATAGAAACAATTCAAGCAGCAGAGGACAGAAGAGAGTATTACAGTGAGTTGCCTCAGAAAATTGTGGGAGGATATTTATCCCTAAAACAGCTTTAAAACAAGGAACAAGCAGGGAACAAGAAATTTAAAATTTGATTGCCAAACTGGAACAGAAAAAACAAAGAAAGAAAAGAGGATTAAATGGATGAGTGGACGTAGATCACAGCCAAATTAGTACAGGATAAAAAATAAATAGCAAAGTACATCTTCTGGAACTTAGAGCAAAAAGACAAGGAGGTGGAAAAAGATGGTGCAGGAGACAGGGGGATAAATCCTGGAGGTAAACATTGGTCTAATACAAGCTCTAGAAAGAGACAAAGGAAATAAAGGAGAGGAAACAAATAACAGAAGCAATTTTCTTTGAGTTGGAGAAAAGCACAAATTTTCATATTGAAATAGCCCACCATATGCCAAGCAGGATCAAGACAAAAGAATCACACAGCTCCGTGGCGGTGCGGGACTTAGGGACAGCACTCTGCTTAAAAGATGGATCAAGGGGCTCTTTTGACACTGCATTTGTACATTAATCTTGCTGATTTGTTTTCTTTTTAATGTAGATTGAATTTATATGTGGGATAGCTTTGGGGGAGCCGATGAAACAGGGCAAAAACTGGCAAACCTGGTGAACAAAACCAAAACTATTTCTTTGAAAAGATAAATCTTTGGCATTTCTGAATCAGAAAAAACCAAGACATATTCTACAACAAGCATGAGAAAGGGAATACAATCATAGGAGTGTAATATAAGAATACTGCATAAACAATTATATTAAAAAACATGGGGACCAGCCCCGTGGCTGAGTGGTTAAGTTCACACACTCCACTTCTGCGGCCAGGGGCTCACCAGTTTGGATCCTGGGTGCAGACCTACACACTGCTCATCAAGCCATGCTGTGGGGGCGTCCCACATAGAAGAACTAGAATGAGCTACAACTAGGATATACAACTATGTACTGGGGCTTTGGGAAAAAAAGAAAAAAAAGAGGAAGATTGGCAACAGGTGTTAGTTCAGGACGAAACTTCCTCACACACAAAAAAGCATACCTCAAAAGAAAAAAAAAAGGAATTCATCTCCTTATTTAAAAAAATATGAAAATGTAGATGATATTGACTACTTTCTGGGAACTCTCTGTATTATCTTTGCAAGTCCTCTATAAGTCTAAAATTATTTCAAAATAAAAAGTAAAAAAAATAAATAAAAACCTTCCATGACTCCCTATTACCTTCTTGTTAAAGTCTAAATTCTTTATTCTAGTGATAAAATCTCTAGAACTAGCCCCAACTTTTCCTCCCAGCTTTATGTCCCTGAATTTCTCTTCTGACACCACGTGCTTCAGCCTAGCTGTTCCTTCTCACGCCTTGACTTCTTCCAGCCACTCTCACATTCACCCTGGGACCTACTCATGAAGTGCTGTTGCCACCCTCTCTTCGTGTGCAAACTCTGCCCATCTTCCAGGACTCCGCTCAAATGTCACATTCTCCACAAATTTTCTCTGAATCTCCCTGCTAGAAATACCTACCTCCCCTGATTTCCCAAAGCAGGTTTCTCTGTTTCTTCTCTAGTTTTTAATGTTTTGTACCTTATACTCTCACTACTTATGTGCGTGTTCTGTCTCTGTAATAAAATCTAAGGGCCTCAGGGACAGGGTCTGTGTCCTTATATGCCTATGACTCCAAGCACTGTGTTTGCATATAGTAAGTGCCTAATAAGTGTTGTTGAATGAATAACTAAGTGAATGAATAACAAATCCCAAGAATCAATGAAGTTTCTATTTGTCCATTTTTTTATATAATCACTGTTAATTGATATATAAAACAGCAGATACTATTATATAAATATATCAACTAAAGTGTTTCATCTAACTCTACGACATGGCAGGCTAGGAAGGAAAAGTCAGTAACATTAAAATCAGCCGATATTATGTTCATATCTGTGGTTAACGTTCTAAAGTGGATTGATTTGAAACTATTGATTTAAAAAACCTTCTAATTCTCTCTGAATTTAATTTATGCAGAGTAACTTTCCCTCCACCCTATATCCCTGACCTCAAATAACTAAGACTTGGCCATATTCACACCCAGGTATGCATTACGTTTGTTCATGTGTAACAAATACACTCATTATAATCAATCTAGAATATAATGCATTTGACAGATCAGTGAATGAATCTGGAGGATATGAGTCTAGGAAATTCTAACATTCTTGTTCTTGTTTTTATTTTTGCTACCTTGAGAATTATGAATTTCCCAATCATCTCATAAATTTTTGCCCCAAATGATAGGCCTTCCCTCAGGTAGTACCTTCAACAACCTCCTTGTGGTCTGTAAGAAACAGAAAACAAAGTGAAAAAGCTGAACTCTTCAGTGGGGAGGCCTCTTGGTAATCTCTGATCACTTTAGGGTTTCCTTTCCCTTATGTTTAAATCATCATATTTTAAGTTTCTCAGGAGGATTGTTAACATCCTTGCTTTAAAAGATCCAGAATTTCCTGAATCAAGTATGTTTTTAAAATGTGTTTGGGTGGTTGGCTGCCAAATCTGGCCTCTTAACCTATTTGGCTCTCCAAAATATGACTTGAGAAAGGAAAATCAGGAAGGAAAAAAAAAGCAAGAAAATTTCTACTAAAGCAATGTCCTTACACTTTTCTTTGTCAGTTCAGAAACCATCTTAAATGCTATTTTCACCATATAACATTTCATCATGTTT